AATGACAATGACAATGATAATGATAATGATAATGACAGCGATAATGACAACAATAATGATAACGACAACGATAATGACAACGACAACAACAACGACAACAACAACAACGGCAGCGTGTTGCTGGAGGGATATGAGGGATGGAGTGACGGAGGAGTCCTCTGGAGCGACCCGCCGTCGGATGGCAACTGGGGAGTGTGCAAAAAAGTGACGGTGGTCTTTGGCGTTGCCATCTGTGTTACGCAACAAGCCTGGAACGAAAGATCGAAGTGTGACCACATCGCTAACGTTTTTTATCAGCTTCTGGACAACGACGCGAACGGGATCCCGGACGACGAAGAGGTCCTGGCGGAGATGGTGCAAAAGGGGTACCTGCTCATCGTGCCGGCAACGGAACAGGAATTCGAGCAATCCATCGACCGGATCCCGGCCGCGGCGTCCGTCTCGCAACCGATATGGACCACGGAGGCGACCCCAAATTCCTGCCAGGTTCCGACCAATCGAGGTGCCTCCGCCACGGACCGCTCCACGTGGTCGAGCGCCGTAAACACCGGAGGCATGAGCTGCAACCCCCAGCAAGACGCCTCTGTGGAGGAAATCTTACACCTGATCAGCCGCGCGGCGAGCACCGTGTACCCGACCAAATGGGGCTCGAGCTTTGCGAGCGAGTTCGGCTCCGCCATCAAGGCCGCGAACGGGAACTGTGGCTTTGGGTACTCCGGGAACTGGATCAATCCATCCACGAACGGATGCTCCGGGCACTTTGCCTACAACGACGCCACGTGCGATGAGGCTTGCAACGTGGACGAGGGCATATTCTGGGCTAGCATCTCGTATATCGGTGGGATGTACACAATGGACATGGCCAAGACCACCAAGAATGAATGGTTGATGTGCACCCCCGACAGCAACATGGAGGTCTATCCAAGCGGAGTGCGCAACGCGGTGTCGCTACAGTCGGGGGCGCCGATCCTGTACGCAATGGTGGCGGACACCACCTCGGACGGCCATGGGTGGCTGCCGAGCGTCATGCCCGACGGCAAATACGTGGGATCCGCTGACAACGTCCCGGGCCCGGTTCCCGCCCCCGTTCCTTCACCAGTTCCTGCACCGGTTCCTGCACCGGTTCCTGCTCCTGCACCAGCTCCTGACCCAGATGATCCCGAAACGAGCTGCGAAGATGACGCATCGTTCAAATTCAAGAACAAAAACAATAAGATGTGCGGGAAGAAATGGCTCCAGAAATTCACACGCAAACTGAAAGGTAAAAAACGCAAGAAGCTAATCACATTGTGCAACAAGAAGTCAGGGAAAAAACGAGTTTACAATTTTTGCAAGGCTACCTGCGCCTTAGTTGGTTTGGGCCCGTGCGCATAAAATGGACATGGGTTATTGTTAGTGTACAGCGATAGTAACTAATTGATTGATGTATTTATTTAAGTTACGGCAACATGGTTGATCAGGACTTCTTTTCCATCTTGTAAAGAATTGTGTGCATGGCGAAGCAATTTGCATGTTCCTCAGGTCGTGGGAAGCAGTGTCGCGAGTCTCCAAAGTATCGTTTTGAGTCTAAACCACACTACGAACCAAGAGTAGCTAGTGAGCGAGACCAGTCAAGTTGACCAGTATTACTGGTTTTCATTTTGACCAAATATGTAATTTGATGACCCTTCGATTTATCACCGCCACAATACACTAACAACAGAACACAACGGATTGAAGCTAGGCGCATGGGCCCAAATCAACTAAGGCGCATGTAGCCTTGCAAAAGTCATAAACTCGTTGTTTCCCCGACTTCTTCTTACACAACTTGATTAGCTTCTTGCGTTTTCTACCTTTCAGATTGCGTGTGAATTTCTGGAGCCATTTCTTCCCGCACATCTTTTTGTTTTTGTTCTTGAATTTGAATGATGTGTCATCTTCGCAGCTCTCCGTTGGGTAGAAAGTTGGGTAAAACGTTGGGGTTTCCGTTTGGGGATCATCATCATCTTCAAATTCTGGTACAGGAGCTAGAAATCCTTGGTATTTGCCATCGGGCATAACTAGTGGCAGCCACTTGTGGCCTTCCGAGGTGGTGTCGGAAACCAATGTGTACAAAGCTGGTGATCCTGATTCGAGCGATATAGCATTCGGGTACCCCTTGGGATGGACCTCCATGTTTTTATCAGGAGTGCACATCAAAAAATTGTGCCTAGCCCAATATGTCTTTTCTAGCGTATACAAGCCACCGATATACGTTATGCTAGCCCAGTGCACACCCTCGTCCACGGTGCAGCCCTCGTTGCAAGTAACGTCCCAGTAGGCATATTGTCCGGTGCATTCGTTTGTGGACGGGTCGATGTAGTTGTTTGAGTACCCAAAGCCGCAATCTCCATTGGCAGCCTTGACAGCAGCACCAGCCTCGCTTCCAAAGTTCGTCCCCCACTTGCTTGGCCACAGGTTGCTCGCCGCGCGTTGGATCAGGTGAAATATCTCCTCTACGATGTTGTCCCGCTGGAGACTGCAATCCATGTTATATGTATCAACAAAGTTTTGCCATGTCGAGCGGTCTGTATTGGAGGCACCCCGATTGGCCGGAACCTGGCAGGAATTCGGTGCCGCCTCATTGGTCCTCGCGTTCATTACGAATCTAGAGTCTACGTCCGGCAACTTGGACCATAATTCTTCGCTTTCTTCTCCCGTAGCTGGCACAAAGAGCATATAGCGGTTTCGTAACATGAAGGTCCATACTTCTTCGTCATCC